CCCGTAGACACCAGCATCCTGCCAGCAGGTGATGTCCTGAGACGTGCCAGTTCGAGGATGACGGGTCCCGCACTGCTCCTAATAAGGTGCCCATTTTGAATTTGGCCGCCGACGCGGTAATCAGACCGTGGCATCTCACCCGCGGTGTGCGTCTGCGCGCTGGCTGGTGGCCGCTGCCCGATCTGCCGTGTGGAGCTACTCGCCTGGGAGGAGGGGGTAGTCGCATGCGCGTATAGCAAGATCCACAGCAGGCGGCTGCTGCCACGCACTACTCACTACTCCTGCTCCTGATGTTTGGCCGCCGACCCGGAAGGAAGGCTGCGTCTCGGCAGGGTGCGGCTGCGCGTTGGGCGGCGTGGAGCTGCTACTTGTAGCCTAGGCGGAGGCCACGGAGGAGGAAGGCTCCATGCGAGTAGACGGCAGAGTCGGCGGCTGCTGGCTCTGCCTCTGTGGCCTTCTCCGAGTTCGAGATGGAGACCGCGGAAAACTGGCAAGAGCTCTGGAAAAATCATGCGGCACAACGTCCGCTGCCCGAGCCCCGAGCCTTCTTTAGCTCAGCCTGCAACTTCCGGATTTCGGCCTCCCGGCAGGAGGGTGTGCAGACTTACAGTCTAACAGTCCAATCCGAACGTCTCGGAGCACCTCCGCAAGCAGCCGGTATTTGCGCAAAGCCTCTCGCAAAAAAAAGGGTTCCACCAATGAACTCGCACGAAGATTCAGCTCGAGCAAGACTCCGGGCTACTGCGGACCTGCATTTCCTCCAATTTCTGCTCATGGGCCTCCGACATCGTCTTCATGGTCGCGAGCGCCTTCGCCGGCGAAGGTGTCCCGTCACCACTCCCTGACTCCACGACCTCCCACCTCGTCTTTCAGCTCCAAGGCCATGGCAAATTTCGCCTGCATGGCAGTCCCACGTGGTCACGCTCCCTCGCATGGCTCCCGGGAAGTCGCGCCTCAGCCTGCTGACGACGGCCGCGCTCCAACTCTGCGCGGCCACGCTCCACCTGCCACGAGTCAAAGCACCGACGGCACCGCAAGTGGCAAGAACCTGCTCCGCCGTCCTCGAGCATACTCTCGTACTGCTCCCGCTGCTCCTGCCAAGGGACGACAGACAGCGCAGGCCTACTGATATGCTGCCCGCATCTGCCCCAGCCTGCAAAGTGTGCTCATGTGCTTGCATCGCTGCCTG